ACCGCTACTGGTTGCTGCAACACTGCCTGAGCACTAGCTTTTACCCGAATTTCAAAATAAACTTGAGCAATGATCCAATATAAGTTGGATCCCATAGTAGCGAACCCACCAAAGGAGCCTTTTAGAAAGGCAGATAAGTTCAAAAAGTGATTTCAGGCGACTAACGCTATTAATTAAGAAGCATAAAATAAAATATTCCGAACGTGTAAAGACAATTACAACACGTGCATATCCTCTAAAAGACAGCATTTTGAGAGTTAGTTATGTGCTTAGGACGTTATTTTAAATAGCGAGAATAACTTTCATTTTTTTAAATGTCTCGTACAGAGTAAAAAGGATTCTCTTGGAGGAAATTACTTTTCTGACGCAAGAGAAAAAGAGCATGTCATAAAAGCCGTTCAGGTATGTAAGAGTTTGAATAGATTCAGTAAGTATCCATTGCTGAAACATCTTCAAACGTCTGTGGTATTGCAAACACTACAGGAAAAGCAGTATATTGAAGACGTCAGATTTATTTGTCAAATTGGTAATTTTCAGTGACATTCATCCATCGAGCTTAAAAGATTTTTATGCGTCAACAACAGCAAAAATCACGGACCAAGTAAGTACTGTAGTTGATAGGGGAACCTACGTAGTTATTCGGACTGTAACCGGATGCGGCCTGTGGAAACATCAAATACTGGCCATCTTTAGCATCACTGGGAGTGCACTCGTCTCCTGCCTGATCATGAAGTGCGCCCCAAGAATGACCAAGTTCATGAGCTGTAATCAGCATGGCTGTTGGACCCGGCAACATTTGTCCTTTTTCGTCGGCAAAGGATGTGTATCCGGTATTCACCTTCATCGGGGGACCACTCAGCGGGTAAACTGTATATTTAAATGTTAAAACGCTCGTAAGGCTTGAAGGGGTAGTGCATTCTTAGCCAAGGGAATCTAGGAAGTCTTGGAGCATGCCTTTTAAAAACTCAAGGGAAAAAGCCAACCCATGGGCCATCCCATATGGACAGGATAGCTGCAAGTCAAGTCGACAATTGAATGAAGCCTGGACCTTTGATGAGAACTCAGTCAATCGGCTTATCGATCTGACGCTTCGTCTTCTTTACCCAGAACGGCACCTGGAAACCGAACATTTGCCTCTAGACGTGTGTTAAATCTCTATGAGTTAGGTTTTAAAATACCACATAAATTATTGCTGGCGTTTTATGCACACCCTTCACAAAATCTAGATGGTTGAATAAATAATTACCGGAAATATTCGGGGAGATAAATTTGCCACCATCGTCAGCGTCTACACTCCTCCAATGACCGGATAGAAAACAGGTTCTTGGAGAATCTCCTGGACACGGCGCCAAAGGCAGAAAAGTAAACTGTGGTCAGTGACTCCAACGCCCGCGTCAGCACGGACCATACTTTCTGAAGAGGATTGCTGGGCCCACATCGGGCCCCCTCAACGGCTTTAATGAAAATGACCTGCTCCTTCTGCGAATTTGAAAAGAGCAACGCCTAATACCGAAAAACAGCTTTTTTGGACTTTCTGTGTGGTAGGTGACTTAGATGCCTCGCTGTTCTCGGCACGGGCATCTACCACACTGTGTCTTCGTTCGATGGCGGGACCAACAGGACGTGCCGCCGACAAAAGCTATCTCGTCAGCTCTATAATGAGAAACGTATTTAGACACACACGAGACCTCAAGGTGAGCAACCACCAGGTAGGTTGAACATCTTCTCTTTGAATTTGTCTACTCATTACCTCCATTTCACCAACGAGCTAAATCAATGTCTAGCCAATATTTCAGTAGCCGACGTGGACGTCTGTGTAGGGAACTCATGGTGTCAACGAAGGAACACAGTTAAATTTACCACCCTAAATGTTCTCCACCGCATACATCGCCAACATTAGGACTGGGTTTACAAAAACGACGCAGCTATTAGCGTTGCGTAAAAGGACCGACTGCGCAAAACCTATGTTGATTGCCCTACCGATGCAAATAAAGGAGCCCTCTAGCGAAATGTCTGCCTTGTACAAGGGTCGCTGCGGGAAATGGATGGATCAGAATGCCGAAAGATCTAAAGTACCGTGGACCGCAAAGAATGGAAGACATTTTTCACTGCAATCGAGGCTGCCTACGTCCCCAGTCAAAATAACCGCTCATCTACTCAATGCCACCCTACCCACTACCCTATACACTGAGAAAATGCAACTTCTGAAGATCTGGACAGAGCACTTGAAAAGCGTTCTCAAACAACCCTTCACCTGCCCCGATGTTGTCATTTGCCGACTGCTCCA